CGACCAGAGGTTCTCAGTTATCTACACTCCTTCATCTTATCTTTTTCTCTCGTTTATTCTTTGCGGATAGACTGTTTCTCTGTATTTTTTTAATGTTCCAGGAAATCAAAATTAAATGGAACTTTAGCACTGCAATTGCGAAAGTATTATAAGTAGACAGCAACAAGTGTTCAATTAAAGAATCATTCGAAGAAAGGTTCTGTAGGATGTATCAGGTTATTTTATGAGTAACTGGTTGTCCACATTAAATTTTAATTCTGGTGCGAAATAGTAATACATTTATTTTCAACCTATGTAGTGAAGGTAAATTCTAAATATATATATGCAAATGGGTTAAAAGTTAATTCCGTTATCAACTATTACATATATTATAAATTTACTTTATAAATGTATTCAAAAATCTTGACAACTATCGTAGGAAGTGTCTCATAGCGAATCGTAAGGGAAGTCAGATAGAAAGGATGAGGTTTCTATGGCGCTGTATAGGGTTAACGTAAAAAAGAATACGGGTCAAGTCTTTTTATAGTAGCAAGGGCAATCCCGCGATAATGCAGCCCGATTTTCTCCCTTTAGGATTGTCGTCGTACAAGGAAGAAAAAGGAAGAGGCGATGGTGAGGGTTCACTGAAAACATACCATTATTTGCTCTATTCGCAATTGCCCCAGCGGGAATCTCACATTGGATAGCGCACTCTATGATACGTGTGCTTTCAGGGTCACTTTATGGGAAGTAATGAAACATCTTCAATTTAACGATGTATACCAATTTCACGTTTTTCCCCGTTTGGTCAAGCCTCTTCTCGTTAGACGGATTAGCGAATTAGTATACGTGATGAATATTTTATATTAAGAAAAGCTTATTTTTCTTGAATGGAGTGTAGTAAAAAGGTATCGATCTATTAATATTAAGAAATCATAGGTTTCGAAGGTGTTTTACCTGAAATTATTTAAAGTGGCACAATCGACTATGAAATTTTCCGAAATTCAAATTAGAGGAAAATGTAGAATAATTTACTTGTGCTTCCACGTAGAGTTCGTTTGCAGTGGTTAGTGTGTTACCGCAGTGGTTCAATTGTTCCACTTTGAATAATCGAAGGTAAACCACCTCCTAAATTAATGATTTATTACTATGAAAAGATTAATACTTCTTTGTTGGAAATTACGATATTAATCGAATTATACAATAAGAAACAAATGATTCCATTTAAGATAATAAATTTGACCTCCGTATGACCTCTACGTGTTTAACTATTGTTAATATAATTAACGATTGTTAATTATATTAACAATAGTTAAACACGTAGAGATAATTAACAAATAAATTATTATTAAACGAAAGAAAACTGAAATTTACAATTAAATCGTTGTACTCGTGTGTAATATATTACTTATTTTAATTAAACCTACTGTTCTAGATAACTTTATCTAATTTCTCCAATTAGTATCTATTTCACTCAAATACAGTATTTTTTTTCTGTTACAGGCAACATGGCTTGAAATATCACTCCAGGTACAGTGAGTATCTCTACTCTAAGATGCTCATGATTCTGAAGAATCGTTGATCAACTTCAGAAGGTTAGAGAGCGTAATTATTCATGATTGGGTGGATCACTGATAAATCGCCCAATGAGAAGAATAAACGTCCTTACCGAGAATGTAAATATATGTGGACATCCGTATCCTAACACTTTATTTAGATGCAATTATTTAATAGTTTTTTTTACAAATGAAAGACTCAAATTCTCAGATTATATTTAAGAGAAAACAAAGACTTTCCAAAAATATATAAAGACGAGTTTTCTTATTTTGTTTCACAATTCTCTGATATCTGTCACTGTATTAATTTATTTATAACATTTATTCGTACATTATGATTCAATTGCATCGTTTAAGAAAACAAGCATTAAGAATAGGTAAAGTGTTAGCTATAGAAATTGTCAGAAGAATTTCAACAAAAATATAATTTTATATTTATAGCCCAAAAGTTTCTTTATTTAAAAATTATTTGTGATTACTTTTCTCATAAATTAAAACGTGAATTGTATATAATGCTTAAAATGATACATTACTTTTTTATATCAGATGCAGCAATAATACGTTATAATATATAATATAATATATGATATATATGATACTTACAGTGATATACAACCTCTTGAAGAAAAAGTTGCAATTGCAATATGTATATGCTACATAGAACACACTATCTATGCAAATTAAAGAAACTGAATGAACATAAGTCGATATTTCAACTGTTTGCGAGTTACAAACATTTTTATATACAGTGGGTCAAATAAGTTGACGCACAGCACGAGTTTTAAACCTTGAAGTCATATAACTTTGAGAAAATAATCAACAATGATATTCATTTGCATTATTTATATTTACTTATGTTCATAAAACATTGTTTTGTTATTTTCGTAGAAACAGTTACCGAAATAGGAGCATCCAAAGTTAACGAATCGCCGACATTAGCGTTACCTAACCTACGCAACAAAAAGGTTGTTCGCTAAGGCTTATCAATGTTGTGGCACGTGTTTAGATACCTATATCGCGGTAATGGTTTATGCAAAAAATAGCTTGCAATGTTTTCCGCAGTATAATTATGAAGTAGCAGTAAACATTATTTACAGTATTTATCTCAACATTATTATTTTTAAAAAATTGTGTCCAAATCAAAATGAGGAGAAACGTATTTTTGTTGGATACTGATCGGAACACTAGTGCAGAAAAATTGAATTAGTTAACATTGTGTGATGTAGGAATTGTGTGAAATAGATCAACAATGAACGATTTCATTTGGTACCGATTTTCTCACTGAAAGTTCGAATTCGGTCGCAATTACAGTCTCTCTCAACCCTTCCACTTTTCTATTTACTTTCTTTGTCGCACTGTACCGTTTTCTACAGGCGAATAACGAACTTTGGAAACGTGTCCAGCAAAATGTTTTTCTCAACCTGTGTAGCCTCTCAAGCTATCTATTCAATTTTAATAATTAGGTGCAAAAATAGTTATTCACGCATCTTTCTTTATATATGTATTATAATAATACAAAGTACAATTTGTGAAAAATCGATGTTTTATGTACACTAAATTATCAATTCATATATTTCCAGATTAATGTTTGTAAGTTAACAATAATATGTAGGGGAGATTGAGGCGACATTACTATGGTTACAAATTCTTTATTTTTTCAACAAGAAAGACATTACCGTTTTAAATCTTACATGTATTAGGAATACGAATATGAACATAAATATACTTAAAGAATAGGTATTCAAAGGAAAGTAATTTCATTATCTTTGTTTCAAAATAAAAAATTAATTCGTAAGTAAATTAGCTATTTTACGTAACTTACACGAGATAAAGTACAAGTGCTCCACCTTATCCCATATGTATAGATTACGTGAATAAATAATATCAAAATAAAATTGAGACATCAAACTTCTTTTAAACAACAACATGATATTCTCTTTACATTTGTTTACGTATCAATATTGCCCATGAAAAACTTACCTTTATTTCAACTTTGATTCACTAATTTACAATGTCAAATTTTCATTAGTCATTAACCGATAAATAGTGATTTCGATCAAACTTTCCAGTACATCGTCTTTCGTCCATTTCTTTATACCAAACCATGTTCTCAACTTACATGTATAGATGATATACTAAAGAAAGTATATGTGATATGTATGAGATGTAGGTACATATATGAATTGTACAATTATAAAGCAAAACTGTGGACAGGGAAGGGGCCCTGTGAAAAAAGTAGCCCCATCTATACCAGTCTTCTTTATTATATAAATAAATCTCTTGTGGATACACAATAGCAACAGCCGTTAATATTTATAATAAGTACTTACAATAATACTTATAATAAATTACCAGGTAGCTGTTGTATTTAAAAAGAACTGCAAAACAATAAGTAATTTGTTTAACAATAAGTATTTTTTGCAGTAATTGAATAAATATGCAGAGCTCCTCCCCTGTCTTCGTGTGCGCTTTTCTCCGGTTACCTTTTCATACGCAGCATCGTTCGCAAGGACCTACTGAAAAGCGAGTATGGCGGACGATTCGGAACGCGGATGGCTGCGCGTATACAATCGTCCATGCTCGAAAACAATGATTTATTTTAAACTTCAAGTCTAAATAATAAAATGGGAAAACA